TGACCTAAAAGATATGCTAAAATATCTCGGCCACGAACACTTACCAGCTACATGAAATATTTAAGCCATGAAATTTTACTTACAATAAGAAAGTCAATTATTGTATGTATTTGGTTCAGTAGTGAATTTAACCTCAACTTTTTTTATAACAAACTTTAAACTAGCATTAACATGAATATGCTAACTAAGAACACATGTCACATGTTTTTTGAAAGTATAACATATTTAGTTTATTAAGAAGTCACAACTTCAGAGTAGTGGTTAGATAACTGATCGGTGTCACCGACAAGCAGTTGTCAAAAGATCTGTCATCAGCACTCAGTTGTCAAAAGACCCATGTCATCAAAAAAGCATTGTTCAAAGACCTACGTCAAAAACAAGTACTTTTCAAAAGATCTATGTCTCTAACGAGTAGTTGTTAAAGATATATGCCACCAACAAGTGGTTGTCAAAAGATATATGCCACCAACAAGTAGTTGTCGAAAGATATATGCCACCAACAAGCCACTGTCAAAAAATCTGTCATCAACAAGCAGTTGTCGAAAGATATATGCCACCTACAAGCCACTGTCAAAAAATCTATGTCATCAACAAGTAGTTGTCGAAAGATATATGCCACCAACAAGCCACTGTCAAAAAGATATATGCCACCAACAAGCCACTGTCAAAAAATCGATGTCACCAACAAGCCACTGTCAAAAAATCTATGTCATCAACGAGTAGTTGTTAAAGATCTATGCCACCAACAAGCCACTGTCAAAAAATCTATGTCATCAACGAGTCAAAAAATCTATGTCATCAACGAGTAGTTGTTAAACCAACAAGCCACTGTCAAAAAATCTATGCCACCAACAAGCCACTGTCAAAAAATCTATGTCATCAACGAGTAGTTATTAAAGATCTATGCCACCAACAAGCCACTGTCAAAAAATCTATGTCATCAACAAGTAGTTGTCGAAAGATATATGCCACCAACAAGCCACTGTCAAAAAATCTGTCATCAACAAGTAGTTGTCGAAAGATCTATGCCACCAACAAGTGGTTGTCAAAATATCTATGCCACCGACAAGTGGTTGTCAAAAGATCTATGCCACCAACAATTGGTTGTCAAAAGATCTATGCCACCAACAATTGGTTGTCAAAAGATCTATGTGACCGACAAGTGGTTGTCAAAAGATCTATGCCACCAACAATTGGTTGTCAAAAGATCTATGCCACCAACAAGTGGTTGTCGAAAGATATATGCCACCAACAAGTGGTTGTCGAGAGAACTATGCCACCAACAAGTGGTTGTCATAAGATCTATGTCACAAAGAAACAGTTTTAATCTCTTTACTGTATCATCAGCAGACTTGTCAATCTTCAATCAATGTCGACAACAAATCTCTGATTTTTGTCTCAGGAAAACTGTAGTCAAATCCCTGGGTTGTGTCATAAACAACCTATTATCATATCTGCTCATGTGACCAAGAAAAATATTTCAAATTCATTTATTTTACAAACACTTTTAAAACTGTTTAAATAGATACAAATACATTTGGACATCTTGTTTGTCCCTAAAAGGCTAAACCACATTTATAGAACTGATGCCAATGTAAATATATTTATAGTCTGATTTAGTATCTCATAAGTAACAGTGCCACTAGGTGAACAGGTACCACTCACTGTCCTTGATAAAGGAACCTCTGTGATCAAGTGGTGCTCAAAGATGAGGTTCAGATTTTACAATATAAATACCCAGATAAGATTATATTTATATAGATAAGATTCAATATAGTAACAAAACTTATGGGAGTGAATTAAAATACGTCCTCTGAATAAAGAAAAGGCAACAACATTTGTTGGGAGTGAATTAAAATGACCCCCCAGGTGAGTAAAGGGAAAGTGATGACCAGCACATATACATAGTAACCGGTACAAGCCAGATCTGAATACCTGTGGTCACTCAAATTGACCACTGGTGATTTAACCTACATATAAACAGGTAATGTACCTATAAACAGTGGGTTTATGTAAACCATTAATGTCCAGTACAGTATTTACCTGGCTCTCAGACACCCAAATAACTGCCCTAACCTACAATACCCGAGACACCTGTTATCTAATACCTTACTGGGATATCTACAAGCAATCCAAACTGTTACCATATCACACCACATCTACAGTTGATGTTCTATAGACTTCTACAAAATATTCATCTACTGTACGTGAAAATATCAAGCATATTTGAGATCTTAAATGAGTTTTAATTCATACGAGATTTAATCATTTTATGAAACAAGTTATATTTTTTTCTATTTTTGCGAGCATTTGCAAGCAAATACTTAAAGAAATTTTTATAAAACTCATATGAAATCAAAACAAATCTGAAATAGTTTTTATCACATAACCCTGAAAACATACATATTGACAGGTTTTTAAGCCAAAGTATGAGGACATAAACAAACAGAGGCTACCATTTTGTTGTATCATTTACAGTCCACCATGTAAATGTCATTGTCTATAACATGACATCACAAACCATTTCTGAGTGGCGTAGCAAATGAAAACAAGAGGTCCAAGGGGCCTTAACGGTCACCTGAGGAATATATGTCAATAATCTGGGGATTTTAAAATGTTGCAAAAATGTAACAACACTTGTGCAGGACCAAGTGTAAAACATCTGTACCAAGTTTGAACATGACTCACCAAATGGTTCTTGAGAGGAAGTCCATAATGTCTTAGCCAAACAGAGGCCAGGGTGGCCATCTTGGATTTTGAATTGCCCCAAAAAGTTAAAACACTTGCCAGGACCTTGTGTAGAACATTCGTATCAAGTTTCACCTTTTTCCCCCTCCTGGGGCCCCTATTGGGGCCACACCCTTTTTCTTCGTAAACTTGAAGCGGCTTCCCATGGGGATGCTTTGTGCCAAGTTTGGTCGAAATCCATTTAGTGGATCTTGAGAAAAGTCATTTAAAGAAGGTTTTTACATATGGCCCCTTTTACACCGCTTATGGGCCCCGTAAAGGGACATAATCACTTTTTTCAACATAATTTCATATGTCCTTCACTAAGGGATGCTTTCTACCAAATTTGGTTGAAACCAGTCAAAGTTGAATTTTTGACCCTTTTGAGCACCCCCTAGTGGGGCCGTAGTGGGGCCGTTTTTGACCCGATTTTTTTTTTTATTCGCAAACATTGTAGACTTTGCCATAAGGACCCTAAATATCAAATATGAATTTAATCTGACTGTTGGTTCATGAGAAGAAGATTTTTAAAGATTTACCTAATTTTACCCCCCTTTTTCCCCCTCCTGCGGCCCCTTTTGAGGCCACACCCTTTTTCTTCGCAAACTTGAAGCGGTTTCCAAAGGGGATGCTTTGTGCTAAGTTTGGTCAAAATCCATTCAGTGGTTCTTGAGAAGAAGTCAAATATGTGAAAAGTTAATGACGCACGACACACGACGACAGACAAATCATGATGGCAATTGGTCACCATGAGCCTTCGGCTCAGGCGACCTAAAAATGTAAGGGTACATTACCCTTATGACAAATTATGATATACAGCAAGACTGTTGATTAAACAAATAGTCATACAACACTTCCATTTCATTTTCATGATGATTCAAATATTTCAGACCTGTCTCATTAAAAAGAAATGTCTCGCATCTTTATGAAACACTTAAATGATTAAAAACATTTGAGTAATATACTGATAGAAATTGAGTTTAACTTCATGGAAAATATTCAGACACCTGCAGCAGCATAGTACAGATAACAAATAACAATTGATCATTTTGAAGAGAATGTTTATAAAGATGTATATGCCCTGCTTGTAGAAATTATAGAAATTGAGTTGAAAACAAAGTACAATAAAAGTCAGCGAAGCATACATGTAGAATATATGGACACTTCAGTGGCCAACATGTGATATATACAAATAGTATTTTTTACTGATCAACTCTGGTGATGATTTTTCTCTTTGAAGCCCTAAATTGAATGATTGATCATCATCTCCTTTGATCAATTCCTTGGTGAACAATCTCCGATGCAAAAAAAAACACAAATAGTGACAAAAGTATTCTATTTTTATCTACCAGAAATATAGCTTTTATCATTTGTTGCTATCAACTGTCCCTTAGATCACGACATCCATCCTCGTAAGGGGAAGTGACTCCAATAATCATATTCACCTAGCAATAAACCCATAGAATATACACATCACCCTGACATAAAGTCAGGGGGTGGACTTTACTGGGCAACAAATTCATATTTGTTGTTGAATGTAGTGACCAGCATCAGATATGGGTGGACTTATATTCACCATACATGACTAGCCTAATTAATTTCTAGAAAGATACGGAAAATCATTGATCAATACCAAATTGATTTGAAATCAAGGTTATCATAATGAATGTCATCAGCCAAAAAATAAAAAAGAAAAAAAAAAGAAAAAGACAAAAAAAAGGTCATCTTAATGGTAAAGTACTAAAATGGCAGCAGATTAATTGATTTAGTGAAATAAATTATTATTAATTATGGTATATTCCTAGAAAAAATTCTCATTCTTAAGACACATCACTTCAGATGCATCAGTAATATAATGCTTGATGATCTCTGGACTTCTAAGACAGTAAGGTTATCAAATATTTAAATTTTCAACTATGATAAAATACATACTACATATAGACTCCAGGAAAAAGCAGATTTCATACAAATGACTCCAAAATAAGTAAAACTTTGGAAAACACAGAACAGATGTTACAATTTTCTGTTGTACTATCAACTGAGACTTAACTCTCCTATTTAGTTCAGTACTGTCTGACACATAAGAGCAGGAGGTTATTGGGTGACCGAGAAAGAAAGAATGGTAAAAAATAATTTGGAATGTTGATCACTTTTATAGGAGAAAAGGGCATATTGATCACAAATACTTAATCAGTGATGAAAATGTTGGAGAACACAAGACAAAACTTCTGAAATAGATATTATATTAATGTTGTAAAATTAATGCAACTTACTTTTTCATCTTCTTTGTGTTGTATCGTACTTGAAAAGCTGCCTGGAACAGTTTCTCAGGCTCTTGTTCATATCTTAGAGGTACTTCCTTCTGGAAAAACTGGAATAAAAGCAAGTAAAAATGTCGTCAGTAAAATAAATAAAAATGTTTAACTACAGTTTCTTCAATTATTGAGTTTACTCCTGAAGATAAGTAAAAATCAATCCAAACAGAGTTATCCCCCCTGTTTATCTCAAATTTGCTTTAAGTCTGTCAGAGTTACTTCCCCTAGACATAATTTCTTTTATAATCAATGTCAAAAGGAAGAACCAATCTACCTTGAAATTGGAATTCTTAAAATTCTTTCAAAAGGTTTGAATATTTTTACATATTGATATCATTTAAATGAATTAAATTGAAATAAACTTTCGGTAAACACAATTCAAATTTTTAGTCTTCATATATCTAATAATAATCTTTAATGACATGTTCAGTCAGAGATTGCATGATGAACAGAAATGATAATAATGAGATGTAGAAATGTCAAATGACCCTTACCTTCAGCATTCCCTCCATATCCATATTCTTAAGTAAATCCTGACTAGTCTGTAATATTGCAATTGCCAAGCGGAATATAAAATCCATACCCTGAAAGACGACACAGAAAATCTGTATAATTCTATTTTAATGAAAACAAGAATATGTATTCTTCAAAAAAAAAAAAAAAATTCCCTTGTTTGTTGAAGTGAAATCAACAAATTCTGGTTATTACATGCAAGTTTTCAACTAAACAATGAAAAAAGTATTAAAGATTATATCTATAAGGCATGTACCTATATTGAAAGTTTGAATAATGAATATTCAACAGTTCTTTAAGGTATGCTGAAATATTTACATTTCCAGTAGGTATTCCCTGTTTGCCCTTCCCAACAAAATTGATGTTTACACTTCAGTAAACATAAAGAATGGTGTGCTGTAAGTCGGACCACTGCACACTCGCAATAAGTGTGAATGCACTGTTGCATTTGTTTATTTTTTTTATTTTGTGATAATGGAAAACTAAAAGCACTATGTAATTGGAAATGTAAATATAAAAAAATATCTCACAAACTTGTAATAAAACATTATGTTCATGTAGAACTATTTTCTGTTTACTTCCAGTCGTTTGCTATTCCAACAGTTATAGGGATTTAACATCAGTGTGTAAAACATCCAAGGGACAACAATTATTGTTATTCAAAGAACATAAATAAAGGGAAAAATGCTTTCACAATGTATATACAGTATAAGTAATGATTTTTAATATGTGTTGTTTACTGGTGCCTAAGCTGCATTTTTTAAACAGATATTTCAACATGATGATGATGCACATCTTTTAGAAAATCTGTAAACAAAATAAGTTTACACACATTAGTAAACAACAAAAAAGAACAATTATTTCCATAAAGAATATGTGCACAAAGTGTTATAATGTATACACCAATGCCATTGAAATTGAAAGTTCTCAAAATCAGAAATGTAAAAGTACAAGACAATCCTCTGCTGTGTGATTGACATGTATACAAAACTTGAGAGTAAGCAATTTTGAAGTTACTACTAACCAAAGAAAAATATTTTGATGCTGGTTCCAAAATGACTTTTTGGAATACATCAGAAACTTGAATATGGACAAAAACACTGTGAATAACTTTATAAAAGGTGAAATAACAATCTGTAACAAATTTTGTTACCTATTTAAAAAAATGTATGGATGTTCACGAAACACCAATGCAAATTCCATATCATTTTGGTGAGCATAAACTGATGTACATAATAATAATTTTCAGGTGATTTGCTTCATAAAAATTGTAATGTGTAAAATATGAAACCAAGGTTGAGTTTGATAAGTCATTTCACACCAGATGTAGAGTAAATGCTGCTTCAATATGACACATACCAGTGTTCTAAAGGTGCACAAGGCCTGCATCCAGCCCACAGGTTCAATAGCCAGATCACAGAGAATAAGTTTACCTGTCTAACTATAAATTCTGTTTCTTTTCTTTATTTAGATATTTTACACACTTTTGTCCAATAACAGCAGTGACTAAAATCACTAGAAAAGTGCTAACTCATATTCATAAAGACAATAGAATAAACAAATCTCCTAAATACCATCAATGCATAAGATTCAAAACATGCAAACCATTCAAAATGTTATATCACGCAGATATGTAGAGTATAAGTTAAAGTTCTCCGAGATCGTTTATCTGAGGAGGAAGTAACCTACCTCTGAGATAAATACATCCATGACCCTACAGGCCATGGACAATGGTAGCGTTGTAGAGAAAAGGGTCAGAAACCAGGACGATGCATACATGGAGGTATAGAATCCCTGGGTCTGGAAGTGTACGTACAGAGCTGGAAGCAATTCCTGTAATTACAAACACTGTGTTAATTTGTGATATTTTTTTTAGAATACAAGAAACATTGTGTCAATTTGTGACATTTTTTTTAAAATACAAGAAATATATTATCACAAAATTTATGCTATCAAATCAATTAGTTATTCTATTATAATAAAAGCTGTCTCTCTGTATCTTACTCAGGGCTGCTGGACTACAAAAAAGATTCCTTCTTACAGTCATTAATGAATGATAAAATTGATTATGTCTGTAAAGAATTACAAAAACCTCATCAGAGCCACTGTGAAACTAAACAAACCAAAGACTTTCTGATGAAAAAAATCTGTCCCACAAATCCATCCTAAGATTGTATTCCCATCACCCAGTTGAAACAATTCTGGTGGTCTGGAATTAATCCACTATATCTGATATATGTAAAGTTAACAATGTGCAGTTTCAGAACTTCCTGTCAATCATAAATCAATTGACTAGAAATTATGACACCATCCATTTCACTCAAACTTTATAACACAATGCTCCCGGAAATATGTGAGTGCACCAACACTACTTTTTATGCTGAATTTCTGAAAACTAATGATATTCAGCAAATAAGTTTCAGACAAGTATGGCTGGACCCCTTAAACGACACATGCCAAATATTCTGTAGTCCAGCCTTGGTCCCGATCTGTATCTGGCATTTTTCTTGCAGATTCAACCAATCCAAGCGTTTCAACTGCTTACGTGAAAGTGTCTTAAATCTAATATCTGGATTGCAGTTAATATATAAAATCCAGATTATTAATTTTGGATTATTTTCTCATTCTATTCTATTTTCCCCTAGCTTAACCTCAACCATCTAGTTTTTAATTTGCAACAGTGGAATGGAGGGAAAAGCTACACGTAAATTAAGATTGATGATGAGCAGGTACTTGTTTGTATATAATCCTTACCTGTATCAGCCACTCCAGCTTGTACATACATAAACCCAGCTCTGCCATGCTGGGTTTGAATAGTTCTCTGAGACGATAGTCCTGCATTAATTTTACTAGCACCGCAAATGCTTCCTCCTCAGGCATCTGCAAAGCAGCATTAAAACAACAATTAAACAAAGACTCAGAATTAAGGTTTTAAAAAAAATATTCAAATCTTTTCTAACTACACATACCACATCAATCTTCATGATTCATAAACAAATAATTCAGCCCCCCCCCCCCCCCCCCCCCCCCCCCCCACTCCTTTTTTAAACAAATTATTCCCTAAAACTAACAAAAATATTTGAAGCTGCTATTTCAGATGAAATAATTAGATTTTAAAACTGATGAATAATGTTAAAATTGGAACAAAACATCAGGAGTCTCTCTCCTAAATAGGTAGGTTTGACATGTATGGCTTTCTGATGATTGTTGTCCTTTCCAATCTGTTTCATCATTTCCAGTAACATATATACACATAAACTTCATTTAATTTACATTAATTGCAAAACAAATTATAGCAGCTTTTTCTAATTACCAGTACTCTTGTTGACCCAAATGTAAGCTTGTGTGGTGTGTTACTATGGGTGTAAGCCGGAATATTTTTGGAAAACCCACATGGTTGGACAGGTGACCCCTACATTATCAGGTAAATTCCAGGAATTCAACCGCGACGGTTATGTGAAAGATGAGTGTGTTACCACTGCACAACCTGACCACCTCGTTATCAGTAATCAGTCTGCACCAGATCATTTATAAGACAAAGTTATTTTCCTATTTCATTTATCATTCACAGTATATACATTTAAACTTAATTCTAGACCTTCCTTTAAACTGTCAGTTTTGTTACCTGCATGAGGAGAAGTCCCACTATAAAACCACTCCCTTGACAGTAGCCCACCTCTCTGTCATGTAGAGAGTACGCCTGGAAAATTCAATATAGATATATTCAGGCTACAATTACATACATAATACACGTCTACTGAATCATTAATGCTGGTTACAAAAATATCTTTATACAGTCTGTTGTACTTAGTTTTCTTTGTTGAAATTTCACTAACAAACAAATATCAACACTAATATCAACACTAAACAACAAACACACAAACAATAGTCTTTCAAATGGTCTGATCTTGAATTTTCATTACATATGAGATTACGACATAAAAGGAACCCGGAAATTTTCCTGTTTCTGTTTTCTCAGTTCTGTTAATCTCATACCTAATGCTAGACATGTCCCTAGTTTGTCTGAAGCTTTAAATGAGGTGGTATAATAAGGACACATACATCTAGGTAATTCTTTAAAGGTAGTAACCAGTCTAACTATATAGAAACTTACAAAGGTATGTCCTTAAGCTAATCATTATCATAACCTGAAACTTTAATGTCACCGATATATTGCAGACCTTATGTCAGCGAAAAAAGATTGGTGTTGCACTGATTAATGGTAATTTAAGAAAGGCAAAAGCAAATATCGAAATTTCAAATAAAAAATTCTGATGAAACAACATCAATAGAATCTTCAGGTATAGGAATAGAATGTACATACTCTATAAAAGTTGTTGATAAGACATATGGAATAGAACAGCGATTTGGAGCTGGTTGGTTTTCAATGGTTAAATATCTTATTTTATAATCACTTATGTGTCAGGTACAATCAGTTTAGATGTAATGCAATAATGAAAAGATTTTAAAATCTCAACATGCTAATTTCTATATAAAGTTTGGTTACAAATTTAGATGTAGTATTCAGTTATTTTCTAAGAATTAGGAAATTTTTATTTTGACATAGAGTTGAACTGTTAACACACTTATAACATAGGATCACTCTGTCAACTATGAAATATAATGATACCTTCATCACATTGAAAAGACTCTCCTGACCCAGCCCATCCTTTTCCTTGAAGAATTCCTGCTCTGGAAAAGTTCGTGCAATGTCGCGCTTGATGAGCTTTTCACTAGGGGAGTTGTCCTTCAAGTGTACTGCATACATTTGTCGGTGGGGGCAGTCATGAACATTCAACAGCAGCTGCCAGGCCAATCCCCGGAAGTGATGCGGAATTCCCTTCCGCACCAAATCCTAGTTAAAACACATGGTCATGAACCAATGATAGTGCTATGTTTAACAAAACTGATAATAAATTCTATAACAATTATATCTATATATATAAATTAGCCCAAAAAATATTTTTTCTCTTGAATTGTTTTTCAAAGTCTCCTTATTCAACTTTTAATTCTCCTGCTATCAAAAGCAATTTTGATAAAAAGAATTAATTACAAATATTCCTGATTGTCCGGCTATTCATGATTATTCTAAATCAATGTAACAAAGCATAGCATGATTACCTTAATATAGGTTTGTTTCTTTTTTGCATTCTCCCAGTCATTGACAAGTTTACCCCATATATCCCATAGGTTCCCCGATGTGGACAGATCTGTAAACAACCACATGTTATTTTTATGTAACAATGTTATATATATATATCATGATTACCAGGTAGCACTGCACTTCTATTTTAGAAATAAACAAAACATTAAACTTTCCAACAAAACAATCATATCAATTATCAATTAAAACAATAACCATGTACATATAAATATACATCTAAACAGTCTCTTTAGTTGTTGATTATTTGAGTTAGTTAAATTTTTAACAATTTTTTGCCTGAAAAAAACATTGGATAATATCAATTGGATGGATGTGATATCTTTAACATTATTAACAAAATGTATATCTATACTAACAGGACAGCGTATTAGCCAGCTCAACATTCATGCTTAAATTTAACATTCACTGCTAAATGAAAATTTTAACAAGCCAACCAATTAAAAACAAAAAACAATCAGAATTCACCTTCCTCAGTCATAACGGATAGTGTGATACTAAATATATAAGTACAAATGTAAGTGATATATTGAGTATAAGCCAAATAATCCACATCTGTGCTATAAAGATTTTTTTGAGGAAGTAACACTTTTGTTTGGGGACAACAAAGTATTAAGGAGAATCACATGACCCTAGACCACGATAAAGAAATCAGGACAATTCACTGAACATCCAGTGATGAATGTTTTAAACCAAATGACAAATTTTTGGATTGAATATTATTGGGTAATTGATAACTGTGGTAGTAAGTATATGTATTACAAGTCTAACAAAATAGCATCATCAGTGATGGTAAAGTCTCCATTGAGCCTTGATTTAATATTGTAGTTGTAAATAATTGATGGTTGTACACACTGTTTTCGTCGTCTGTCTGCTGTGTACTGTAGTGACTGTTCGAGGAAGTAGACGACTGCACACTTGAGCCGGAGCCCTTCCGCGAGTGACCAGGCGTCGGAGAGGGTGCAGAGTTCAGAGAGCTGCATGACTTTTGATCTGCCTCTAACAACCTGTAACATTATAAAACAGGAGATTTAGTCTAACAGGTACATGTAAAGGTTATTTAACACTACGTGTAGAGCTAAATAGCTTTGATTTCCATCACCAAGGCCAATGACATAGCACCTACATATATAACTGTCCTCCTCTCTGATCTATATTGGGTCGAAATAGAGAATAAACACTTACTAACGTTTATTAATATTATTTATCTCTTATGTTTTTACAAGAAAACTATCCTGTATTAATTATTTGAATGCTATGTGGTTAAACCAATGATTAAGTCAGTCCAAAGACCAGTAACTTTCGATACCGACATTAGATTTTTGTAATGTCATATGTTCCAGTATTCATTAACACTTATTAAGTGGCTGTACATATAAAGGTTTACAGGTGGGATACATAATTATAGCACTTGGTTGGGGAATAATACACAGATTTATCAACTCAAGGCAATATCTTATTTACAGATATTTTGACTGTGAAGATAAGATTGATATTATTCTACTATTATTTGTACTGTACATGATGTGTTTAAATTTATGTCAGTATTTGTTCACTTTTATGTTGACCATTCTTTAATGCCTTTTCCAATTTAACGGTGTTGATAAAAGAACACAATATATCTTAAATCAAAATATTTCAATATAGGTATAAAGGTTCTAGAGTGAACAGAAATGATGTATTACTGTTTTGATTATGTACGAGGTACCTGCAAGATATCAATATTGTCTTACAAAGAGAGAAACCAATTAGTTGAATTAGTTAATTGTATTGATATCCATGGAACAGTGCTTGTAAGCTGGTGGGAAGTCACAATATCTACAGCTGCTACCATTGCATCTGAATAAGATCGTTTATTTGACTAGATTTGTACGAGGTCCAAGTTAATATTGGTTTCTGCAAACACGCCAATGCAAATGAATATCACTTTTAGAGAAATTGGCACATGATTGAATTCTGACTAGTCTGACAGTCAGTTTACATAAAAGCATGTCTATGTTCCTCTGTATATTGAATATCAATGTTAGACAAAGCGTTAAAAATAGGATTGGTAACCTTGACCTTAGAACCCTGAAACATTGTACTCATCTGAAGAAATAACATACGCTTGACCTTTGCTTTAAATCATGATGGGAATCTCTTAGCAATGAAGGTGCTATAATATAGTGATGACAATGATTAATGGTAACTGCACACAAGATGATGTACAGGACATTCAGACATAGGTGACACTATATGCCCCATGTCCCTTTAGTGGTAGAACACTGGTAAACCAGCTCCAACTTTCCTGAAGAAATTAGCTGAACTTATCTGTAAATCAGTAATTTGTTGGGTAGTGTCAGGCTACCATATTACCTGTTCAGACGCTGGTATAAATTTTATGTAATACAATATAAAATGTATTTGAAATATCGCTGTGCAGGTTGTGAACAACTGGAGAATTAGATTAACTAGAACTGTTTATTTCATAATCATTCATTTCATACACCTAATAAGCTAGTTGTGATCTACATATAGATCTGTTTGCTTTCCCATACTATTAAAACTCATTGTGTTTTGAAATAGACGCTCAGGAATATAATCTCTTGTAAACTGCAAAAGTACATTATATCTAACAAATAAAGATTCATGATCATAATGTCCCCAAATCTATGAAAAGGTCTATCTTATAGTTAAAGTATTGTTCTGTCCCTGATACAAGAGTCTAATTTCCGTACAGAATGCATGATGAATGAGTCGCTAATGATTGCCAGACAAAACATGCTCACTACATCTTTATATAGCTGTTGTTTTTACCTAAGGGTTAAAGATTTCATGATCAACAACTGACAATAAATAGACTTGTATTTCTCATGAATAACAACACAGATTACCTGTTGGGAGATGGTACATGTGCATGTTTCATGTATATAGCTGTCACACAAAAGGAGGCTCTAGTACTGCTTACATTAAAGGTAACGAGGCGGACACCTGTAGGCAGGTGTACCTAGTATAAAATGTAGTACAAATTACATAGACTTCTACTTAATTCTCAATGTTGATGAAAGTGTTTTAAAAAACAGACATTTATGATACAGTAAGACACTATTACTAACAGTAAGAAATCATGATCTGACTGTAATACTTCATTTATCAAGTTTTAAGTAGTGTAGTATAGCAGAGTGATCTTAAGTTGGATATAAGCATCATCGTCTATAATTCAACCTACCAGGATATCATACCTACCTCACCTAGCCTACTATGCTTGATATCAGATGTACACCTTCACCTGTAGCCTACATCTGGATATCAGGTGTATATCACCTATAGCCTACTTTGATATCAGGTATATATCACCTATAGACTACCTGGATATCAGGTGTTTATCACCTACAGTCTACCTGAATATAAGCTGTATATCACCTACAGTCTACCTTGATATCAGGTGTATATCACCAATAGACTACCTGGATATCAGGTGTGTTTCACCTATAGACTACCTGGATATCAGGTGTGTTTCACCTATAGACTACCTGGATGTCAGCTGTATATCACATATAGACTACCTGGATATCAGCTGTATATCACCTATAGCCTACCTTGATATCAGGTATATATCACCACCAGCCTACCTTGATAACAGCTGTATATCACCTATAGCCTACCTTGATATCAGATGTGTATCACCTACAGCCTACCTGGATATTTGGTTATTATCAATTGTAGCATATCTTGATATCAGGTGTATATCACCTATAGCCTACCTTGATATCAGGTGTATATCACCTATAGCCTACCTGGATGTCAGGTGATCATCATTTTTAGCCTATCCGTATAGGAGGTGTATACTGTTCCCTATAGCCTCCCTGGATATCAGTTGTATCATCACCTATAGTCCACCTCAGAATCAGGAGTACAATCACACATAGCCTACCTGGATATCAGGTATATATATATATCACCTATCGCCTACCTTGATTCCAAGCGTATACAGCTTTTATAGATATCCTTTACAATATATCTTAACTGCTCTTAACAGACATATTTTACCTAGCCTTTACCTACCTTAATATACTAAATTTACTTCTTAATTGTCAAATCAGATATATTTCATAGCCTACCTGGGTATTAGGTACATGTTGTAAGATAAACACACGTCCAGACGTAAAGAATCCAACAATTTACCAGAGATCTAGTACCCTTAAGATCTGTTATATCCCTACTGATGTTTCTGTAGTCTAGATCTGTGGTGCTGGCTGTTTAGAGTTTCCTGTGTTGTACAATTTATGCCCCCCTTGATGTCATTGTGACAGGACCTGACGTAGGAACTAGGAATACTAAGTAAGGCAAACAATAATTTATACACCTTGTCGTCACTCAGCTGTTGTTGTTCTGATAGCAAATTAATGAATAATATTCTCGACATGGACCTAATTTTGTCTGTAATTAAACGACTAATTACCAATTCAACTCATAGCAATTCAACTCATAACATAACACTTTGTTTTGTTTATCAACAAGTCCTTTCTCCATGTTATCAACAATCAACTTCCTGTGCCAGACTCTGACAAGACTCAGTAATCATAAGTCCCTTCCTTAACCCTCAACTGCTTTTATTTGCTCTTCCTAAGATCTATACTGACTAGGGGGTGGGGTTGGGGGGTGGGGGGGTTGTGACGGGGCCATCAAAACTCAGTCACTAAAGCATCATACTATGCAGCCTCCAGTGAAGATCTATTGTGTAGATAGTTCCATCTATATCTGAGGCAGCCAAGATCATGGACCAATTCATGGAATGCATTGGTTGTGTCCCTATTGACCAGACACTGTACGATCCGGGGCAAGAAACTTTATCCAAATTGCTTTGGATGGCAGTAGACCTCTCCCATGTCTGATGTTAAATTAGTGATGGAAGATCCATGTCTGAAAGTGATTCCTGCTGTCTAACAGGTGATAAACCCAGCTAACAAAGAAATACTTTTTATTTAAAAAACAATAACTTCAATTTATCCAGTATGTCTGTAAACAAATTTTCAATATACTAGTGCAGTAAATATGTCTGATTTTAAAATTAACTTATTTCCTACACTACATTCACATGCACACATATACCTTACAGAATGCATATTATTTGTTATCTTTACCAAATGTAGTGACATAGTGAATATCAAGTAACATTTTTTTATTCTTCATTCTTATATATAACTTTATTTGCTTTCCTTTACAATGTCACTATATCAATCTATTCTTCATTCTTTTATATAACTTTATATGCCGTCTTTTACAATGTCAATATATTAATCTGATTAGAACTTAATTATGACCTTGGCCTTTGAAATCTTTGTTGTTTTTGTAAGTTTATTTATCTGTATGTTTTCTTGTTCTCTCCCCTCCTCCATCAGTTTCATCCATTTTACCAGTTGAGCATTGTGGGTAAAACATGTCTAGCGCAATTTTGTATTATTTTTACATAAGGTCACGGGTCATGAATAATGACATGCTTATTTGTCTTTATTCTGTTCTGTTTTGTTTTACAGTTGTTACTGTGGTGTTTTAGGGGGTGGGGGGTGGGAATTTGTTTTAAGTTCATTCTTTGTTTACATGTTCGTGCATGATCAATCAGCTTTTCTTTTAACGTTACTTAATTGTAACTATGTATTAAGCGATCACCTTTTAGGCAACAATCTTGTTATGTCAAATGTTTGATAAAAATATAATTGGTCAACAAATTCTGAACAGATTTTAAAATGAAAAGTACTGTATCCAACTGTGTAGTGCCTTCAGAAAAGTTTTACATCTCATGCTAATATGATTGATCTGTATGTAACACAAAAATCATGAAGGTGAATCTATTACATGCAGATTAATGGTAACACTAAGACCATGACAATGCTACTTCTACATATCAAAAAGGATGTGGGATGTACAGTTATGGACTCTAAAAGCTTTTAAAAATTTGCTCCTCCTAAACTTTAAAGTAAAAGCAGCACCCAGACAACTGCCAGATCAACTCACGATTACCGGGTGAGCTAAAAATCAATGTATAATTGAATCTATATATCAAAACTTCAGAGAGAAGTTCAGCAGTGTACTTATTTACATGGTAAGTTATATGTTGGTCCCTTTCTAAAATGCTTTACCTATTTGCAAGTTCCAACTTGTTGAGGAGGTCAGCTTCCGTGTCATGACCATTGTCCAAGGGAGGCTGGTCAGCGGCAGACATCTGGCTGGACCTCTAGTCAAGACCTCTAGTCGAGATCTCTACACAATCTGGTCATCTTATTGTCAACAGACAAGGTCTGAAGATGGCAACACCTGATCTGTAATGAGAAAATATTACATCTGTATAAACAGAAGACAAGATCTGATGATGGCAACAGCTGACCTGTAACGACAAAATATAAAATCTTCATAAACGGCAAAACTTTCTTTTTTAAAATGTTACCAACATGATATATATATATCTTATTTAAAATGTAAATCTTTCAGGTAGTTGATATATATATTACCTTGCAATTATGCAGTACCTAAATCAAAATGTCTTGGGTAAATGCAGTTGTTTCAGGCAAAAGTCTGATGCATTTTGATATCATTAACTGTCAGTACTGCACAGCTGATTCAAAGAAACACATGTTTTTGCTCTCACACATACAAGCCATTACTAATTTAAAGCATGTTCTATTGTATTCAGACATAAAAATCTGTCCTATCTGGCGACACACTGGCCATCTTTATTAGACAAATTATGCACAGAACCACTTGACCTGTTTCACAATACTTGTATCTTTTCCCTGACAAACCAAGAGAAATCAGGATGAGGTTAAATAGCAATATATTAAATGCACATTTTGTTCAACATCTACAATAGAAATGACAGAGCCTAAGGTGTATTCATTTGGCATTGATGAATGTAATAACATACAGACAGTAGGAAGCAGCTTCTGGTCAAAACGTGTAAAACAATGGTGTGATTTGTTTCTCAAACAGCAAAATGTAAAAACATTAAAATTCTGCATTTACATAGTTACATTGTAGCTGTTGTATAACATGAATTAACCTCCTTAATCAAACCACTTGTTGAATATATTAATAATTACCCAACTGTTCATATAAGAATATTGATAGGTTTAATATTCCAAATAAGTCATTTCTAGAGTTTCATTTTGATAAGCTGACTCTTGTTTTAATTGGATCATTTTTATCAGAAAAACAAACTGCAATAATGTGCAGAATGTCTATTACGGTATATTAACTGTATATAGAACTGTATATTAAGGTGTGAAATACATATGTATAAAGGTAAAGAATGATACAGTAACAAACAACTTCATGGAATTTATATTCCCCGCTTTCCAAACATATTGTAAGTAAATATTTAAATATTTTAGAGGTTAGGAGTAAACATGTCATAATGCTATGTAGAATGATATATTCTCTTGAGCTATGATGTATTGCTTTAAAGCTAAAAAAGATGTAAAGGATTAAAGAGAGTAGATGTTTTATTGCACTTATCAAATATTAAGTTTAATGATAAACTGATAATATTTGTGGGACTTCAAGGTACATCTAAATCAGATTATATTTAGGAAAGTTAGAGCACAAAAACTGATCGACCAATGAAATGAAAGGATACCTAATAAGTATGCATAGATATTAACAGATGATGCTGATTGCTGAACTCAGTCTTATATGCCCTAATATGCATCTACTGACCAAGTTTCATCAAAATCGGATTATATTTAGGGAAGTTAGGGCACGGCAATGAACCGACCAATGAAATCAAAGCATACCTCATTAGTATGCATAATTATTAACAGATGACACTAATAGTCAAACTCCAGTCTTAATGACCCCAAGATTCATCTGCTGACCAAGTTTCACCCAAATTGGATGATATTTGGGGAAGTTAGAACATGTAACAGACAAGACGGATGGACAGACTCATTGACAGACAGACGGACGGACAAACCCAAATCAACATACCCCGTTCCGGTGTAAGCGGGGGATAATTAATATCATACAAGACTGACGGAGATCTATGATAAATCGAAGGTTTTGACATTTATGATAAATTAGTCTCCACATTACTACTGCTCAGGTACAATGGATAGTAGGTGTGTCTGTATCACTCCTAATTATATTCTGCTAAATTAAGACAGATATAAGCCAATTCATCCTACACTGTTTAATTGCTTAACAAGGAATATTGATATTAGATCATCATAATTATGTCTGGAGGCAAACAGTAATAAGGGACATAACTCCTATGAATTAGTGTTGGATAAAAAGGGCACAGTCACCTTTGATGATGACCATGGACCTTGACATCAGGTTCACAATATATGTCAGAGATGGCAATCACCGAAAGTCCAGTCACATAGATAAACTGAGGTCAATTCCTATAAAAGTTGTTGCTTATATTACCATACATGATAACATTATATGTCAGATTTTTACAAAACATTACATAGTACAAGGTCGATATGTGTTAGAACTCCAATTAGACAAGATTTATGTATATTATAATACAACAAAGAATCAACATAAAAACTGACTTCTATTAGACAACACACGGAAGAGAAAAAGGACACTTCTAACTCAAGTAATCTTACACATTTATAGTACATACTGTACAAATAAATTTTGATAATTCTGCATTATTACTCATCATAAAGGAATTTGTTTGTATACAAATATTTATGTGTAAGTAAGTTCATGATATGCCACACTGAAAATTATACCTTTCAGAAATATCTATCTTTTATCAGTGTTTACTTTAATAACAGGTTTGTAGATACAACAATTCAAAGTATGCATATAATTACCGAATATATACATATAAATATAAAAAAAATATATTTTCTCATGCTTAGCACTCATGTTTGTAATCTTTTTTTCCTGTACAAAACATCAACAGTCCTGACCAACAGGCATTTATCATGATCACCATCAACAGCCATTCATTAATTAGGGAGGTCTCTTACAAACTTTTAATGCCTCTCACTAAATTCCTCTTGGCATTGGGGCTTAAATAATTTGAACGCCTTGTCTTCTTGGTGTTACTTTCCAACAGATATAAATACATATCTTCACTGTATGACATTTGTGTTAAAGTTTAAAGAATTTGATTAAAGAAGTAATATCTTGTCGTGCATGAAATGTATGTTTAAAAGTTAATCAATTTAAGTCCTAATTCTCCGAGAATTATATTAACCATCAGTACTGATATAGTGAAAACTTACTGCACTAGTGTATTCTAGATAAGTCACACTGATTATTACACCTCTGTCAAAACAAAGGAAATCACACATACAGTTTAACTGAGTTAATAAAGAAAATAAAAATAATATAGGTACAAATAATTATTGATAATATATTGTTTAAGAATGTTCTTTCAAGAAGTCTTGTGAGGATTATTCAAAATAAGCTAGAAAGCCATTATTCAATTCAAATATGAATTATTGAAATCAATGGTTATTCAACTGTTCGATTGACAGAGGTTCAAATATAATATCAGATTTTGATTTTTTTAAAAACTTGTGTCTTAGATAATATAAGCATCCTGCAAAGACTATAAAGACATAAAACAACAATATGAACAAAACATTTTTATCAAATTTTTAGGCAATCTAACGGTGATTCTTATTAGAACTTGAAACATGAAACAATGATCAAATCACAAACAGTTCGAGATCAAAATAAACATCAAGCATTTCACTTGAGTAGACTACAACCAAACAAACAATAGCCCCTCTTTATAGGGACAGTATACCAAGGTAATTATAGGATAGTTCCAGCTCTGATTACAGTCTGTTCCAGGAAAATTGGTTCTGTGGAAACCCTACTGAGGCATTCCACCAGTAGTGTACATGTATATGGCTGAACAGATCAACAAAACCTGGTATATTTGTTGAGATCCAATGCCTTATTGAACTGTCTGAATCCTGAAATAAAATCCTGGCTATGATAATTACATCTATAGCTACACCTATACAGAGGAAAATCTTTTTCAAAGCTCCTTCCAGGAGGTAATTAAAGCCTTTCCATATTGTATACTCTAAGAGATGTGGATGTAGCTTACATTGTATAATCTATACAAGTCTTCATATTTCTATAGCATTCTGTATAACGTATATGTATCAAATAATCACACATATGCTGATTAAACAGTCAAATTATGCTGATAAAACAGTCGAATTATGCTGATTAAGCAGTCAAATTATGCTGATTAAACAGTCAAATTATGCAATTATGCTGATTAAGCAGTCAAATTATGCTTAATATGTAAAATTCACACTGCTTGGTATAAATGATTTCCAATCTTAAACTGCTCTATACTGTGCACATGTGCTGATGTACTACTCTATATTGTACCATTATACCTCAGGGTTCCCTGGCTGGTCATTTTCTGTATACAAATGTTTCCCCTTGGATAAAGACTGTGCTCATCTTACAATGTGGAAACTCTTACCCCTTAGTATCGCATCCCACATATATATACTGGTATAATTGATGTGAAAACACACTCTCTCCTGCCCCTTCTCTGTCATTACTCACAACTATCACAGGCGATGTCCCAGCCAAATATTACACTAACCAGCAGCGGCCTTTAAGACTCATCTGAGTCATCAATTAATCAAAACCACCGAGACTTCACTTCAGAAAAAAAAAGTCAATTATAAACTTAGAATTAGCATATACAATGGACAGATAAACTATTGGTTAAATTGAAAAAATCATTCGCTAATTTCAGGTTAAAACGTGAACATGACATTAATTTACTGGGTGGAAATCACATATACTTTACACTAGACGTACTACATAATGTGGTTGCTGACTGCACCTAAAGACTCAACACATGTACATAGTGAGGAACATGCTCCCTGGGGCAGCACATTGGCGCCTGGGGAGTTACAAGTATAACTGATCCTGATGAACAAGCTTCTGAGCTTTATTGATGGACAATAGCCTACACACACATCTGATCTACTAATAAGATTTCATAAATAATCGACAATAGCCTTATCAACTTGGTTTTTATTTTTTTTATAAAAGTGAATTTTCAGTATAATAACTTATTAAATATCTCATCGTTACTTGTTTTGATGAAACTTCAAACTCTTCAATCCAAAAAAATTGAAAACAGAAATTTGGAAAATCCAAAGTTTGTCAAGTACATATACCCCCTGGGTACATAAATAAATAACCATGCATATAAGTAGACAGTTTATGCTATCTATGCTATACATATATATGTGTATATGTATAAAGTATATTACAGAAAATATTTATGCCAATATATGACAATGGTTAGATATTT